TTGATTTCGAATGTGATTTGACATTTTTGGTTCTTTTTAGCACATATTTGGAGTAGAATTAATTTATTTAAGAATGTTTGAAAATAATCTATTTTTAGCATTTTACACCATCTTTGCACGTGCTCCTGTGTAAAAATAAGCAAATAAAGGTATTGTTTTTAATACCTAAAAAATAAAAGCAAGTGGTCAGGAAAGAAATGTCAAAGTTTTGAAAATTTCACACAAAGACTTTTCGGACATAGGTCCCCCTTAAATTGTTTCTTTTTCAGCCTTTTGTTTTGTTTCTTTGTTAACTTTTTATGTTCAATTTCCGTGGCCTCTGCCTCTTCTACTGTAAATGCTAAGAAATAGATATTTTGATTATACACAAATACATGTACTGTATTTATCATATTCTTAACTGAAATACTGCAATTTATTTATTGAATAAAAGCGGTATTTTGTCACAGTATGAAGAAATACAAGTATCAAAGTGACATTTTGTAACAGATTGTAATAATATCGAAATTGCTGCAAAACACATTCAAGATTTTCCCTCCCTTCTCAAAGAATGGTTTAAAAACTCCGTGGTCTGTTATAAGATAAAAAAGTACAAATAAATTAATATACTGACTGAAAAATATTTTGTTGAATTCCATGTTTATATTGTTTTCATTCATATAACTCCTAAGTGTGACGTTTCAACTGCTCAAATGATATCACAGCTTTTAACGCTATGTTTAAGGGACATGGACACAGTTTCCGTTAAAAAAAATTCAAAATCCCATAAAATATGAACTGGGTTGAAAAAGTTTCTTTGATTAAAACTGAAGTAAAGACATCTGTACATGTATCATAATCTACTCACCATGTGATCAATATAATTACTTCAAGAGGTGGCTATTCCAAAACTGGATCATTTATCAGTATTTTATACTTGCAGAACTTCCAAAAGGTACCATAAAAGCTGGAATAGTAAAAACCTAATCTTGACAAAATAATAGGGTTTTTTTTCGCAAGAATGTGGAAAGTTTTCTGTCTGCTTTTTTTTTCTCTCTAATTATCTTACTTGTCTTGAAGGTTACTTTTCTGTTTCATTTAAATTTCATTGATATCAATTAGTGTATAAAACATTTCTTTATTGTCAACACTATTGAAAAGGAACGATTCCAAAAACTGGATCACCTTAGTCTCTTTCAAATAAACTTAATTGATGTGACAAACTTATCATTCAAATCCTCACAACGTGCAATAATGCATTTAGGACCACCTTATGTGTCTACAAACCTCATTCTTCTTCCTAAATTTCATAACCTTATTGGACAACGAAATTGAGTATTTTGTATGCCTTTATTTCAATTCCTAAAAAGAAAATTAAATGATGAATGATTTCATCTTTTGCTTAAACGGGTGTCTTAATTTGACATTAATAAATATGAAGTGAAGATAACTCTATATGTACAAAATTGCAATCATCATGTGATCAGGAAGATGACTCCCAAGTAACATTCCATAACTTGATCATTTACGTTTCATACTCATTTTTTTAAATTAATTAATGTATTAAGGGTATCCGATCCTCAGCCAGGAAGGATAACTCCAAAAATTAATATTTAATTTGAAAGTCCTGGTTATGTTACATGTGGTGTACCTCAGGGCAGTATTTTAGGCCCACTTTTGTTTTTGATTTATGTAAGAATGACATGTCTTTGAGTATTGACAATGACTGTAAATTGATTTTATATGCAGAGGATAGTGCCATACTCTTTTCTCACAAATGTACCGATTATATAGCTAAGAAACTTAGTAAAACACTTGAATCTTGTTCCGACTGGTTGGTTGACAACAAATTATCATTACACTTAGGCAAAACAGAGTGTATGTTATTTGGTCAATAAAGTTGATGATTTTTTCATTGTGTGTAAAGAGCATGTCATTAAGGCTTCTCAGCAAGTAAAATATCTTGGTCTGTACATTGATTCCAAATTATCTGGTGAAAACATTGTATCTTCTCTTGTTCAAAAGGTGAACAGTAGATTAAATTAAAATTTTTGTATAGGCAAGCAAGATTTTTGGATCAAAAGAGCAAATTCTCATTATGTACAGCACTTATCCTCTGTCACTTAGATTATTCATGTAGCTCTTGGTACTCTGGACTGTCAAAAGCTATGAAACGTAAATTACAAATTTGCCAAAATAAGGTCATTCGATTTATGTTGGATTTATCCCCGATGCATTCCATCAATTATAGTATTTTTGAGTCTATTAATATGTTGAATGTGGACAGGAGAGTGAAGCAGATGAGACTGAATCATGTTTTTAATATTGTTCATAAGAAAGCTCCTGTTTATCTTGAAACAAATTTTACAAGTTTAAGTAATAATCACTCTAATACTAGATCCTCTAATAGCCACAACTTTAAATTGCCATCGATTAGAAATTGCCAAGATCAGACTTTTTATTACAATGCCATCAAGGATTGGAATGACTTGCCATTTTTTATTAAGAATTTAGAATGTAAAGAAACTTTTAAGAACTGTGTAAAAAGCATCTAATGGAGGATTTTAAAAGCTGTGAAGAGAGTTCGTTTATATATTTTTGATTTTTAACAACTATGAATGTATTGTTTTATTTTAAATGCTTTGTGTAATTTATTTTCAAATTTGATACAGGGTTTTTTTAATACCTGTCCTATCTGAATGAGGTGCCTTGATTAATGTATCTGCCAAAATCTTGCCTACATCCTCGTACTTAATTTTGTTGTTTAGTTAGTTTTTTGTTTTATTTATTCACTTATTTATTCATAAAAAGGACCCCATTGGAAATAAGCAATTTTGCTTTCATGGGTTATCCTTAGGTTTATTAATTAATGTCATGATATCACGATGATTATAATGCATATATTTTTATTCATAAAATTTATAAAATTAATGTCATAAATTGCTTTATATTTTAAACATTCGGAAAAGGACACCTGTATTTAGAATTTTATATTTATTTTTGAAATTTTATTACTGTGATTAGGTTTTTTCATTTCATGCATTATTTATATTTGTACCACCCTGTATCATATATTGATTTTATTACCTGAATAAATCTACTACTACTACTACTATGCATCAAAATTAAGCTTGAAAATGGAATTTTTTCATGCAACAATTTTCATTTTAATCATCTTTATAAGATTTGAGGTTTTTGGAAGTCTTAGAAAAGGTCTTATTAAAGTTGTCATGTGTACCAAATAAAAGGAAAAAAATTAAACAGATTTAGAGAAATAAAGTTTTTCTTGAATCCAGCCTTAGATACCAATGCTTATTAACACGAATTGATTTAGAAGTGGTTTGTGTTGTCTTACAATAATAGCAAAAACCTTTTACACTATGTATTATAGAATACAGGACGGAAATAGAACACAAAAAATACCAAATAAGTATTAAAAACCATGACAATTTCTCTGAATGACTGGATAGTGGATACCTATCGTATTTTAACTTAAAATAGAAAATGCATTCTGATTCGATTTTTTTTTCTGCAAAAATATTGGCGATTTGACAATTTTCCTTATAGAATATAACTAACTTTAGTCTTTCACTTAAAAAAAATACTGTGGATAAATTAACATAACTTTGTGGATTCAGGGATATTTTTATGAGTATTTTTTTCAATTATACTTAACTATTAATTTTATAAACCTGAAGATCGTACTAATTTAAACAATTCTCCCATATGGACACTCTTGAGAAAAGATTATTCTAAAACTGGATCACCTTAATCTCTTTGAAGTAAACTTATAACTGATCTACAAACAAATGCTTTTTTTTATGTTCATAACATGCAGTAAGGCATTTAGGATAAGAAAAGTGTATGTAATCGTAAATAAATGGGAGGGGGAGGGGGTGTAACATAATTTTGCCCTGTCCGTCTGTCTGCTTGTAAGCAAAAAACTGAAACTTTGTCCGTCATAACTTTTTAGTGGGTTAGGTTATGACTTTCATATCTCACAAGTGTATTCCTTGTATCAAGACCTTTTTTAATAAGGTATTACCAAATTTAACCTCCTGGCCTTGACGTTTGATCTTTAACTAAATATTTCAAACTTAAACCTACACCAAATTTGTGAAGAGTTGAAGCTTGAACTTTCATATTTCACTTCCTTGTAACAAGACCTCTAAAAGGGTATAACACAGAACTTTTCAACTGGTGTAAAGATTTTTGACCTTGATCTTAGAGTTTGATCCACACAAGTAAAAACTTAAACTTTGGCAATGACTTTTGAACAGTCAAAACGAAGGCTTCCATATTTCACATACATCATGTACTCGTATATATTACTTGTAACTGGACCTTCCTCTTCATATCAACAATTTTGTCCTTTTGACCATGACCTTACAGTTTGACCCACTTTGTAAAAATTTAAATCTTGGCTAGAAATTTTGAACAGTTATGACTAGAGCTTTCATACTAGTATTTGTTACACGACCTTCCTCTAAATATCAACAATTTTGACCTTCGCCTTGGAATTCAACTTGCACTTGCAAAACATTACCTTCACTATAAGCTGCCATACGGAGGCATCAGTGTTTCACTAACTCATTGGTTATTTTTTTTTCGTAAGGGATATCTTGTGCTATCAATATCTTTTCCATGGTGCTATATCTTGCAAAACAAATTTTAATAATGCAAAATCTTGTTACTATTTATCATATGAAATACTGTAAAAACTTTTTGCAAGGAACGTCCAGGTACATGTATATCTCGTTTTAGCAACATGTGCAACATACATGTAACTATATACCATGTATATGTTTCCTGTATGTATTTTTTGGGGAAATGTATTTTTTATCACAAAATAACATGTACATAACAAATATAGTGTCTCTTCTTATAGTTTTTACTGAAATCAAGAGTCAACAATAGGTAGTGACAATACATGTACATACAAGTGACATACATAATAACTACAAAGGCATTAATTTTTTTTTAAATACATAGCGAAAGTACAACGATTCAATTGAAATTTTATACATGTACTTTTTAATTCCGACTGAAATGGAAATAACAAATGATTTTTAAAAATATTGTTTAATCCCTATTAACCACCCTTGCACTTAGAAAAAATATATGTACATACATATCAAAATGAATATTTTTTAAAAAAAGAAAATGAGCACCTAATGGTAACAAAACATAAATACATACATGTAGTATCAATTTAGTTGAACAAAGAACACATTTGTTTGATTGCATAAAATAACCCCAAAGATTTCTCAATGGGTCATAACAATTACCTGAGTTACAAAGAAAGAATGAAAAATTAATAAATTCTACCTCCATTTAAACTGGTAGGCATTTGATTGGACATATCCTAACCAGAAAAAAGATTCCAAGATTTCCTGCCTATCACTCGTGTCCATGAAATCAAATGGCCTAGTATAAGATATTGTTGCCTTGCTGGTTTTATTAACTTTTCCCTTTTCTTCAATCTGATGAAAATGATCCTCATCAATGCGTAGATACGTCAGAATTACCTAAAATACGAGAAGATAAAAAATAATATTTAACAACTCTTTTATGCTCCTCATTTTATTTCATGTAAAATTCGGCTTACACAGATAGCATCAATCTACCTCCTTGTGAGATTATTTTAGATGAACACATAAGAGTCCGTGTTTTAACATATGTTTCCCCATTTCATATAATGATTTTCTTTAATTTCATAGAGAATCTATAACAATTTAGTTCTTGTGCAATTTATTATTTTCAGAATGAATCTTCAATAAGAACAAAGGTCTGTTTCTAAAAACCTTAGTTAAGGTGAACTAACAAGAGGCCCACAGGCCTTATTGCTTACCTTAGCATTATGTAACAACTTTCCAGAAGTAAATTTGGTTTTTTTTCTTTTAAACCAAAGGCCATGACATTCACAATTTTGATTGATTGATTGTATACTGTTTAACGTCCCTCTCCAGAATATTTCACTGATATGGAGACGTCACCATTGCTGGTGAAGGGCTGCAAATTTAGGCCTATGCTCGGCACTTACGGCCTTTGAGCAGGGAGGGATCTTTATCGTGCCACACCTGCTGTGACAAGGGGCCTCGGTTTATATGGTCTCATCCGAAGGACCGCCCCATTTAGTCGCCTTTTACGACAAGCAAGGGGGTACTGAGGACCTATTCTAACCCGGATCCCCACGGGGCTTCACAATTTTGAAAGAAGCATCAGTGCACCCATTTATGTACACTTAAAAACTTAGTTTGATTACTTAATTATCACAGGAAGAGAAGGGAAACAAATGAATGCATTTCAAGTAACCAGTTATAATCAGTAAAAGTCAGCAGTGTCCCCACCACAGAGGAACCCCTGAACCTGGAGCAACACATTCAATTTTGGAAAAGGCACCCTCGCTCATCATAAATGTTTGTTAAATACCAAGGAGCAGATATCAAAGCATTAATTCATGTTCAGTATATAATCATTAGAACCCGGCCATCCCCATCCCCTCTAAGGTTCCCCTGAACTAGGGGCCTTGAAATTTACAATTTTGGAAGAAGGACACTTGCTCATCATAACTATGTATAATTATTATGTAAGTATTAAGTTTGTTTTATACCCAGAAGCAGAGAAAATTCGCAGAGAATTAATGCATTTTTACTTTATAATCAAAAGAGCCCTGCCCTATCACCTGAACCCCTGACCCAGGCGCCATGAAATTCACAATTCTTGAAGAAAAACCCTCGCTCATCATAATTATGTATGTAGTTATTTTGTTTAAAGCCCAGGAGCAGAAAAGATTTTCAAAGAATTAATGCACTATCACTAATATTCTATAAAGTCCCACCCTGGCACTAGAACCCCTGTCCCTGGGGCCATGAATTTCACAATAATATGGTATAGGACTCAATGCTTATTACGTACATTCCAAAAGGTTGACTGCTTGATGTCTAGGAGTAAAGATGTTTCAAGACTGCATTAATTTTCATAGTTTTGGCCCCACCCCTCAGCCCCAGGGAAATAAGAACCATGAAATTAACAATTTTTGATCCCCTTCACTTTTATATGCTATAATTACAGTAAAATTGGTTGAAATTAGATAAAAGGTTTCCGAGAAGAAGTTGAACATGTCCAAAGGTTAACAGACAAGGACTGATGCATGGCGACAGATGAAAACAGATAACCGTAGGTCACCAAAAATATAAAATGATACACTTACTAGTGTTCCAATACAAAGAATCCCGACTACATAGGGGAAGAAAAAGGAGCCCTTTCTCTCCATCAGGAGTTCAATTCCATGCTGACCTAGAACTTCCTCCCCAACATTTCTAAATGTGAAAGTCTCAGAGTTAAAGTTTCCTTTTAAGGCATCATACATTTTAACCTAAAAAATAAAAAAAAATCATAATAACAATGATAATGCAGAATTCTCCATGACTTGTTTAATGAAGACAGTAGAGGCAAACAATTAGGAGCAATTTATATTCTTCTTGCAATTTTTTTAAGTCTTAATCCCAATTTTGTAAATGTGACCTTGAATAAGTAAAAAAGACCCATGTTTGAAATCGAAATGATTTACTGGCAAAGAACATCTGTTCAAAAGATCTTTTTTTTAATTTTAGTGATTGCATCTAAACTACAACCATAAATCTGCCATGTAACAATTACGGTTGAGTTACGAGTATTGTAAAAAATGGATGAGATAAATAAATACAAATACAGAAATAAAAATCAATTTTTTTAAAAAAATGGCAAATTCAAAGCACAGTAACACTTGAATAATCTGGCAACCAGTGGTTCCAAAATTTGTACATCAGAACCCCTTAAATTCACAATTTTGATATAGGGCTCAATGCTTTTCACAATCATGTTAACAGAAATAGGATGGGGTGGGGGTGGGGGTGGGTGTGTGTGTGGGGGGGGGGGGGGGTTGACCACAAAATTAACAATTTTTTGTCTCCCTACACCCATAGACATTATTTGCCAAAACTTATTCAAAGTAGAAGCTGATAAGTTGTTTACTCAGGGAACCTAATATTATGAGAAAAAAAAATTATATTCATTACTGACCTCAGTGACGATGAACACCTTTAAATACTTGTCTTGAAAAGTATTGAACCGAACAGCTGGTGTACCACGCACAACAACATCCTTGATGACCATGTGTTCAATAAAAGCCTGCCCTGGTCTATAAAATAATTAATCTATCTGAAGTTTTATTTTTACTGATTTGAACAAAAGTTTAGAAAGTATAATGAATATAGGATTATGACTCAAAGATTATAATGCTCACATTGAGAAATGTTATCATTAAGCAAATCAAATGCCACAATAACAACACACAACATCACTCACCTGAGCTCTGTGGCTAGGAAAAATGGCAAACAAGAGGCACATGAGCCACATTGCTCACCTGAGCACCTTTGTTCTTAATCAGACCCCCCTTGTAATACCTATTGTGGCTACCCCCTACCCCCTGGGGGTCATAATTTGATTTTTTTTTTAGCATCTTAGCATCTACACTACCCAGGAATGCTCCTACAAAAGATAAAGCTTTTCTGGTCATGTGACTCTTGAGAAGAAGATTTTAAAAGAATTTTTCTACATATATATAGATATTTCATATTTCAAAATTTGGATTCCCTATTGTGACCAAGTCCTACCCCTGGAGGTCATGATTTGAACAAGTTAGAATCCTCACTACTTAAGGATGATTACACATTAGCTTATCAGCTTTTCTTGCCAATTGGTTTCGGGGGGGGGTTCATAATTTGATAATTTGAACAAATATGAATCATCATTATGTACGTAAAGTCTAAAGAAGGTTTCATTATTGTTTCAACTTATTTTGGTCCAGTGGTTCTTTAGATTTTAAAAGAAACCAATTAATTCTTGATACATGTACTACAGTACTAGGGTCATTCAAAAAGTTCGTAGACTTTTGTCATAACTTTTTTATTTAACGTCATATTTAAACCAAATTTGGTACAAATATTTTAAAAACAGATTCAAATATTTTGAGCAAAGAAATTGGAATATATCTCGATTTTTGTCAAAATTATCGAAGATTTAAGACAGCAAAAACGGGGTCACGGAGCAGGGTCAAAATTGAGTTATTGACTGATTTATCACTTTTCATATCTATAGCCATATCTCTTTAAAATTGTCCTTAAATGAAATAAAATTTAGATACTTAAATTTAGTATTGTTTCATTTCTCCAAAAGCTAAAAGTTAATGTAATACATTGCTTTGTTTAAAAGATATCAATTTCTATAGACAGATAGTCTTGATTAAAAAAGCAAAAAAGGACATCACGGAGCAGCGAGTAGCAATATAATTTTGTTTTGCATTTGGAAAACTTTTGAAACAAACTCCGAAAATGCTGGAGAAACCAGGAAAATACATAAAATGAGCCATGTATTTTTTTTATAATGGAACAGACAATTTTTTAGGGGTAAAGACTTTAAATTGGGTGCTGGGCATTCTGCAAAGAAACAGATTATAGTTCAAAATCTTGTCAAAAGACTTAGTAACGTCATGAAACGTGATGTGTGCTTCATTGTTGCGGAAACTGTAAGAGCAGAGTTACATGGTAAAGGATTTGAAAACATTGACAATCTTATTTAAGGTATACTCGAATTATTGTTAGCATACTAGGTGTCAAGTGTTGTGGATACATTTTAATAAATGAAGAATATGATACAAACCGTGTGTAAAATAAAAAGGCACGGTGCGTTTGAGAAATTTTCTTTAACGTTGTTTTTGACGTTACAATGTTATGACCGCGTGCTCCATGCATGGTGACAAAACATGTTGCTTACAAAATTGGCTAACATAAGTTCCATTTAATCAAACAAAATGAAACTTCAGAAATCTATAAAATATACCTTTCTAAATATAAAAATGCACTGATATTAAGTTTTGTAAAAATAATGTGATGATGAGGAACATTGTCTACGTATTTTTTGAATGACCCTCGTATTATCCCTTTCAAAGAGTATTTGGTCTTTCATTTAAATAAAGTGAATTCCTTTTACTTAAGGATGCTTTGTGACAAGTTTGGTTGAAATTGACCTGGAACTTCTAAAGAAGAAGTTGAAATGTGAAAAGTTAACAGAAACTCTTTGTTATATCTTTAAATTTCAAAAGTATGCACTATAATTTCATTTTGCACTAATAAATTATATTCTTACTCTGGCGAAAGGAAAAATATTCTTGAGAAAGCCATGAAAAGATGTTTAAATCTTCCCTCTGTTGGTGTTGCTTGACCCAGTCTCTGAAGAAGCATGGAAAAGTGTCTCCAAGACTCAAACAGATTGATTTTCCATCCAAAAAATAATCTACAATAGAAAATGCAACATTTTACAATCAACACTTAACTTGACTCGCACATCATTTTCAAATGTCCTACTTTCTATGTCCCCTCCCTTGCAGACAGGAGTAAAGGACAACAAGAGGCCAGTGGGCCACAGCACTCTCCTGAGTAGCTTTCATCCTTCTGTTCTTCACCTGATTTCCCCCCTTGTTACACTATTATGGCCCCATTTTAAACCTAGTAGTGATGACTTGAATAATTTTGACTCATAACTACCCCAGGAGGCTTCTAAAAAGGTTTCAGCTTTTCTGATTAAGTGGTTCTTGAGAAGAAGATTTTTACAACATATTTCAACATGTTCAAAGTAAAATTTGGATTCCCCATTGTGGTCCCACCTACCCCTGGTGTAAAGATTTAAACAATTTAGAATCTACATTAAAACCAGATGTTTCCACAGAAGTATTAGCTTTTAATATAATATAAAATGTTAAGTTTCCACAAAAGTATTACCGGTAGCTTTTAATATAATATAAAATTGACGAGTAACCACAGGCACCTGAATTTTTATCAATAAGTCGCTAAATAAGCCAAATATCGAAATATTCTACCCCCTCTATATATAAATACACCTGTATTAATATATAGAGGGGGTAGAATTTTTCGATATTTGGCTTATTTAGCGACGTGTATTTATATATAGAGGGGGTAGAATTTTTCGATATTTGGCTTATTTAGCGACTTATTGATAAAAATTCAGGTGCCTGTGGAGTAACCGGAGACCACAGATAATGCATGTTTTAAAAGACTTGTAGATGTTTTTTACTATTTCTTTCCAGACGAAGAGATATGAATGTGATTTTACATACCTTTTCCAACTGCCTCCAAACGCTTTCACCTGCTCCTCCATATCACTTTCTTTCTCTTCAAAGGCCTCTGTTGCTCTTTCGATCTGATCTCTAGCTTCCCACGTCTCTTCCCCAGTTTCCTTGTAATAATCGTACGAAAATTTCCACAACTCCTTTGTGTACTGCATAATGGTGTGACTGATTCTTGGCATTTCCGACAGGCCCCCATGTGCAACAGATTTGAGAGTTTTCAGATCGGACATAAATTTTCCAAGATCCGTGGCCTTTTCATCATAGAAAACGGACAGTTCCAAGAGATGTTCTAATCTCCAATGAGAAGCTCTGCCCGGGAATGTTTTGCTATGTTTGCTCCGTTGAAATGACGATGAAGAACCTGTATCAGTGCCATCACTATCCGATGACAAACTGTCCTCTTTTTCACTACTCGTCATGTTTGTTTACAGTCTAGTTCCCGCCCTCGCCATCTCGGAAATTAGATGTTCACGAACCCGATGTTTATTCATGTAGTATTACTGCAAGGCTTATATCTCGGAAACTAGATATGGAATGATCACCAATTTTTCATAGAATTGGTAACTGACCACTAGTATCCTACCCTCAAAATTTCAGACCCCGGGACAGGGGACTTCGATGTCCCCGAACCCGATGTTTATTCACATAGTATAAGGTAGGCCTAAAATTGCAGAGTTACATGTACATGTATATCGACTCGGAAACTAGAGATGGTACCATCACCTTTTTTCACAGAAGTTGTAACTTACCACTAGTACCTTACCCTCAAATTTTCAGACCCTTTAGATTATGTCAGTTACATGTAGGTTAGTTGTCGAATAATATTTAGATATTCTGGCGATTCTTGAGAAGTTTTTTAAAAAGCCTTTCCTGTATAATTCATTGCAATGCAAAACTTTGATTTCCATAAAGGAGTTCGCGTACCTATCAATTTTACCGAAATTTTCGGTAAATTAAAAAAATACGTTATACCTATAATAACACTTATTAGTATAGGTATTACGTATTTTTTTTATTTACTGAAAATTTCGGTAAAATATTGTTAGGTTCGCGAACACCTGTGGGAAAAAAAATGCTTAATAATTTTGAAAATATATTATTATATTACTATAATTATTATACAAAATTTATAGAGCGCCTTATATAATAAACATAATGACTCTAAAGCGCTGTACAACATAGTTAAAAATACATTTATAAATACAATATCAAGAATAAAAATTTTGTTAAATAGCATAAGAAAATAAAATTTAGCATTGATAACCTATGGAATGCCATATACGACAGCCAACTGCTTACTGCCAACTGCTGACTGCTTACTGCCAACTGTCAGCTGCTTACTGCCAACTGCCACACATATCTGAATAAATTTTATATTTGTATTGATATTTATATGAATTTTCACAAAAAAAGAAAAAAAAAAGGCACGGATCAAGGACATTTTTTCCAAGGGGGTCACCACTGGCGGATTTAAGGGGGGGCGTGGGGGGCGCACGCCCCCCCCCCCCCTAAAATTTTCAAAGTATGATGTGACTAATATTTATAATGCCACATTTTGGTACAAAACTAACCAAATAACTGTTATTCTGCATGGTTTTATTCTTAAAATACACAAAAATCCAGGAGCTTCCAGGGGCTGCGCCCCCTGGGCCCCCACCATTCAAAGTATGATATGACTAGTATTAAACACGTCGTACTTTGGTACATCACTAACCAATAGATTATACCACTATTATATAGTAAGTTATAAGTAATTAAATCGTTTATTATATAGTGGCATGTGTAACAATACAATGAGAATTGAGAAACATTCAATACATTTATTATTCAAACATCCGGACCTATATGCTATATACTTTTAACAAAAATAATTGAAAAATATGCACTATTATTGTGCCTGGTTTTACTCTAAAATACACGAAAACCCAGGAGCTTCCGGGGGCTTCGCCCCCTGGGCCCCCACCTATATGCTATATACTTTTAACAAAAATAATTGAAAAATATGCACTATTATTGTGCCTGGTTTTACTCTAAAATACACGAAAACCCAGGAGCTTCCGGGGGCTTCGCCCCCTGGGCCCCCGCCAGGGCTTCGCCCTGGACCCACTGGGGGCCTTAAGGCGGCCCCCAGACCCCTTGCCTCAACAAAGTTATCCACGCCCCCCTAACCACAAATCCTGTATCCGCCCCTGGTCACCCTGGTAAAATTGAATTGAATGAAATGACCAATATATGTTTTATCTTATGTAATATTCAATATATGCGGTTGATAAAGTACATTGTTTATTTTTTTAATTTGTTTTCCTATTTGAAATAGGTAATAAATTGACTATTTTCTGCTTTTAATCTTTAAAGAAGCCCCCCCCCTCCCCCGGAGACAAAAAACCTTTGAAGAGAGAATAATAATAAAAAAGATTTGTCGTTTTGCAGAGAAAGATGTTTTGAAAATAAATTTCCGTTTTCCATTATATTCTATAGTTAAAAATTTCCATTATATTCTATAGTTAAAAATTTCCTCAAATTAAAGATGTATATCTCTGTGTGTTATAATGCAGGCACGTAGCAACGTTCTGAAAGTGGGGGGCCATCCAGAGAAATTTTTTTTACTTACCTGAAAAAATTGACAAGCAAAAAAAAAGGAAATAGCCCAAACTCGAAAATCCTATTTCGTGCGGGGGGGGGGGGGGGGGGGGGGGGGGGGAGGTTGTAGGTGGCTAATTTTTTCACTTTCATTTTTTCCACACAATACAATACTACATATCCTTGATATCATTATACTATGGTAAGAAGTGGGGGGGGGGGAACCATCCTTTCAATATACATTTTCAATAGTAAAGGTAATGTTGGGGAAAAAAGTGGGAGGGGGGGGGGGGCAGGCCACAAACAAATAAAATATGTTTTACATGCATACGAGGGTTGTCCCATAAAATCGTGGACAAAGCGCTTTTCTCGAAAAGCAATGGGCGCACTAAGCTGAAATTTTCAGTAAATGTTTATTCATCATATTTAAGTGTATCATAATGTTTTTGATTATATATATGCAAAAATAAAGATTTTATTCTGCTTGAATATGCACAGGGTACGGTCCTACGGCGCATTGTAAAAATAACAAGGTTTTATTAGAGAATATACAAGTATTATTTCGTAATAAAAGTTTTCAATAGATAAGACTAGGATGAAAATTGTCCTAATTAGATTCCTTAATCAATTCTGTCGTCTTTTTGAAAATTTCCAGGCAATTGGTTAATTTTTGGCATTTTCCTGAGCATTCGAAATGGGAAAGTGATAAATACAATACACAAAAAATGGCGACGTTTGATGACGTTACGGCGCACCGGAGAAAAGTTAAGTTAGATTAGGATGTTGTAATGACACATTAAGAGACTTTAAATAAATACAGAGGAAAGAAAATATGACAAATATCACCAGATCTTTAAATTATAAATTAAATGGAAGTTTTCTTAGCGAAGTTCTCTTTATCGAGTCCCCAGGTAGTACAAAACATACGGACAGACTGCCATTGTAATACCAAAAGACGTTGTCACTGTCGACCGTCGATATGAGATTCTCTGTTAGTTGAATGATGGTGAGAAAACTGTCCGTAACTTGCTAATAAATCTTCAGTATATCGCACAAATGTGCCACATTGGTTCCTTAACTGGATATAAACACTCACGTATGTAAATCAGTCAATTTTCTAAATTTAAGTGGGGCTTATCCAACTTTATTTTTAGCAAACATGAAACGTGACGTTGTTTTAGACAACTTGACGTTATAATCCGTGCGCCGTAGGGCGATACAATACATAACATAAAATATCAAAATTTGTTTATTTATGCATATATCTATTTGAAATTTCCTATATATATTCATATTATAAGTACTAAAGAGTAGTGAAAATTTCAGAATGCAGTGATGATTATTTTTCAAACTAGACAACTTGTCCACGATTTTACGGGACAACCCTCGTAGATCTAGAGAGAGGGGTCCGGAACACCCCTCTGAAATTGTAAAGTTATTTAATGCACAAACTAAACCAACTAAAAGTTATTTAATGTATGAAATAAATGAACTAAAAGGGACCTTAGAACCCCCCCCCCCTCCCCAACCAAAAATGTGGATTCGTGTTAAGTTGGTATGAAAAATGTCATACACATGAAGATATAACGCATAAGAACCCCCTCTCCCCGGCCGAAATAAATTTTCACATTTAGGAAAGGACTTTACGTATTTTTTTTTCTTGTCAAGAAATTTCTGGGTTGGATTTTTTTTTTACCAGAGTGACCCTCTTGGAAAAAATGTCCTATAGATCCGCGCCTTTTTTTTAATTTACATAAATATCAATATAAAAATAGAATTTATTAAAATATGTGTGGCAGTTGGCAGTAAGCAGCTGACAGTTGGCAGTAAGCAGTCAGCAGTTGGCAGTAAGCAGTTGGCTGTCGTATATGGCATTCCATAATAACCATCATAAAAATTAAAAATATTTTTACAAAATGATGATTAAACGATATCAAAACACGAAAAGAAAAAAACTGCATACAATAGAGCATAAAAATATCAGAAGATTAAAAATAACCAAATAAGTCAGAGATCTTTAACCATAAATAAATAAATGAATGAATAAAAACAGTCTATATTTGACACACGAAGATAAAAATTTAACCGAATGCTTCCCTAAAAAAATGAGTTTTGAGATGTTTTATTTTCAAAAGTGTTCAAAGATAGGCATAAAACCAAATGTGGAGGTAAAGAGTTCCAGAGGGATGCAGTGGCTACGTCAAAACGTCTATTTCCATAGGTTGATGTTCGACAGTGTGGTCTTTGCAATGACAGCTTGTTTGCTGATCTAAGGGAACGACCAGGTTGATATACGGCGATGAGCTCTGCAATGTATTCTGGTGCTATGTTGTTAATTGCTTTGTAAGTATAATATATATCATTAAATGATTCATTATTATTCTGTTGAAATCAAAAACAGAAATGAGAGAAATATGTATCTTATTTAATGTAATATACTAATCAAAATTGGATAAAAATTGTATTTTGAACGAGAGGCCCAAAGGTCTGAATGGTCACCTCAGAATAAAACAACAATCCATAGAGGATCCATAGAGTACAAATTGTGAGTTTCAAAAATCAAGTTAGGTAATACAATATAAATTAATTTTTGATCCAATCAAATGAAGTATTACATGAAACAACATTTTTATATTAAAATGACTTATCATGTTTCATAGTTATTTTTAAGAAGATTTTCAAATGATCTATATTTCCTATATTTCCTTATTGTTTTGAACATATTTTATTGACAAGCAAAAGGATAAGAAACAAGTTCTAACAACTTACTAGTTCTTCTCCTTAAAAAAAACACATAATAATTGTCATGCAAAATAGTAGCAAAAACGTATACAAATAAGATTCAATAATATATCTAGCTAAATCTACAGGATTCATTTATAAATTTATGAACAGCGGCAAAAATGCCAATGTTTACTTCGATTGAGAGATTTTCGTTGCCCCATAGCAGTAGGTGTACATCTATGATGTTTAAATCAAGTCGAAAAGGATAGTCAAAAAGATTACTTCGCGCATTACAGTATTTTTTACAAACAAAGAAAAAATGATAGGCATCTTCCTGTTTACCACAAGAGCAATAGGGATTATCAATAATATTACGTTTGAATAAGTCTTGGTTCAAAACACAGTTATGCCTTAATTTAGTATGAATAATGTTGGTAATACGTTTACCAAACAAAAAATATGATGGTGCTTTAGGATTATTATCACTTATAATCTTACGAAAAGAATTGACTGAGATGGCTTCCCTTGTATCTGTATTCAATAAATTCCATTTTTTAACTGCATCGGGT